ATAATTAGTTAGGGAGAGTGTCTAACCGCCATATAGTAGCTGAAACATCACCGCGTAGAACTAAGTCACGTGAGTCCCGAGGCACAATGTCTGATGCTGAAGATTATTAGAAGAATAGGAATGAATTTATGAAACATGTGGAGTGACAGGTGTGGTTTTCATAACTACCCACACCCTATACACGTGGTCCCAGTGGAGGATGATGGAACAGCTTCTCAATTTCTCATGAGTAAGTATTAGGCATTCCTGATCATTGAAGAAACATTTATTGATTATGAACCCCTTCAAGTTGTTAGATAAGTATTGAAATACATCAGTGACAGAATAGTCGTCTGCTGTATCTTCCTCATGTAGCACAAACTCGGCCGCCATTTTACAGGTTAATAAGGTTATTAATTACACGCCCATGCATAGGAATAGAATTCTGAAACTCCACTACTGATCTAAGTATGCGGAAATGCCCAGAGATAAGCAAAAAAAGACTACGCGGTGATGTTTCAGCTACTATAGGGCAGTTAGACACTCTCCCTAAATAATTATCTACTCTTGTATATACCTATATGTACTAAATACCACTACTACTAATGTACATATACTTCAATGTAATGTACTTGTACTTGTTTGGATGTACGTACATATATGTACATGTATTTTTCATACACTTTACTTTTTAAAATGAACTTTATATAATGAAAATGACAATAAGAGACAATTCTAGTACTGTCTTGTACTTTGTACATGTACGTGTACTCGTGTTACATATAAACGTGTGTAGATATTTTTATACTTGCAGTACTATATAATGTACAGTGCATGTAATAATCTTCATTGAAAATGGGTGTGGTCACAGTAAAATAAAATGGCGGCTGAACTTGCAAGTCACTGAAGTCCTGCTATGCAGATGTTCCATGTTCTTCATTGATGTAAATAACTCTGATCAAGTCACAGCCAGGCAGAGACAGCCTGAGCTAACTTGCAAGAAGCCTATATCATTTGTGCAATGACTGGTTGAGCTATTTTTAATGCTATAAGTAAGGTAACTTGAATTACTGCAGACATTTAAAGGTAGATCATCAAGAACTACGTCTATCAAGCTCCTTCTGAGGATGCACCCAATTCTAATTGTATTAAATTGAAGAAATTTTTATGGAATTGTTTTTTAAACTCTTTTATTAGTAATAATGCATGCACTTTTCAATTTAGATGTCTTTGTAGTAATTGTTCTGTTAGACCTTTTTCTTCTAACTTTTCTAAATTTTAATAGATCTATAACCCTAGGCTCTCTGTTAATTCAGTGAGTCCTTTAAGATACCTCTCTTTTCTATTTTGATTCAATCTCACCTCTGTTGTCACTATTCTTATAAAGTTATTATTATTGTATGCACATTGCTTTGCTTGCTTAGGCTCGCCCCTTTAATGTTTTACATTCATCTAGTTTATTAACAAATTTAACATGTTCTTTATTATTATTGTATGATTGGACTAGGTGGCTACAGCCTGATCAGTCTGTTGATCCCGATGCATCAGACCTTGAGTTAGCTGATAAGACTCAGGCCCCAATGGTTGGTAAGCAGGTCCAACTGACAGTGAGGACAAGAGATCAAGAGAAACAAGTTGTGTTTGTTGATGGAATGAACGTAAGTTGAATGTACATGTACATGTAATATAAAGAATGAATGTACATGTAATAATTATAGAGAATGAATTTAAGTTGAAGATTAGAGAAGAGTGTTAGGAAAAGATGTAGCTTTTTTTTATTTTAGTGTCTTCTTTATTCTATGTGTACTTATCTTATTTCTCTCTCCTCTTTCCCCCTCTTCTCTTTTCTTCCCCTTTCTTTCTCTCTCCTCTCTCCCTCCCTCTCTCCCTCCCTCTCTCCCTCCCTCCTCTCCCCCTCTCTCTCCCACTCCCTTTCTCTCTCCCCCTTTCTCTCCCTCTCCCTCTCTCTCT